GCTGTGCTTGCATCTTAACACAAACATAATGCTGCCACGCTAAACGCATATCACCCTGTGTGTGGCTGCACACAAACACACACAACTGACCTTTAATCACTGGTCATCTAGAGCGTAGTGTTGACTCTCTTAATGGACCATTTTCCTGGTGATGATACGCTTGGCTTTAATTATACGAGAGAGAGAGAGAGAGAGAGAGAGAGAGAGAGAGAGAGAGAGAGAGAGAGAGAGAGAGAGAGAGAGGACCTCGTAACAACGAAATCTTCTCTGGCCGGGAACACAGTATTATGTGATGATGTCTTAAGTGTATCCATTAACGTGGTCGATGGAAGTTATTCCTAAGTACATGACGGGAGACAAGACAAAAGGAGATTATTTTTATTAATGGTTAATGACGTTCATTAGTCGTGGTTTAAGAGTCAGTAGGCGTGGCTTAGAGTCAACAGGCGTGGTTTTGAGGTAGTAGGGGTGGGCTAGAATCATTAGTTGACTTTTTGTCAGTAGGCGTGGTTTAATAATAAGAATAATAATAATAATAATTAACGGTTTATTGAAAGAGCTTGGCAGCCAGAAGGCTGAAAATATACAGTTACATATTTGGGGAATGGGTTTCGAATTACAAATAATATACAGTAGGCGTGGTTTAGAGTCAATAAGCGTGATTTAGTGTCAATAAGCGTGGTTTAGAGACAATAGGCGTGGCTTAAGAGTCAGTAGGCGTGGTTTAGATTCAGTAGGTGTGGGTTTAGTGTTAGTAGACGTGGTTTAGAGTCAGCAGGCGTGGTTTAGAGTTGGTAGATGGGCGTTTAATGTCAGTAGGCGTGGCTTAGAGACAGTAAGTGTGGTTTTAAGTCAATAGGCGTGGTTTAGAGTCAGTGGGTGTGGGTTTAATGTCAGTAGGGTGGTTTAGAGTCAATAGGTGTGGTTTAGAGTCAGTGGGTGTGGGTTTAGTGTCAGTAGACGTGGTTTAGAGTCAGCAGGCGTGGTTAAGAGTCACTAGACGTGGTTTAGAGTTACTTTACAGGGTACAGTCAGTTGGAAGGGTTCACAGACAGTTCATATGGTACACGGAGAGTTGATAGGGTGTGGAACTGGTTGAGTGGGTGTCTCTTGTGTGTGTCTGTGTGTGCGTGTGTTGTGGGTGTCTCATGTGTGTGTGTGCGTGTGTTGTGGGTGTCTCGTGTGTGTGTGTGTGTGTGTGTGTGTGTGTTTCAAAGGGAAGGTCTTGTTTAGTACCAACAACACCATCACCTCATTGAGATTCTAACCAGACCAATACCTCGCTGTGTTGATCGACCTGAGTGCCTGCCTTGATCAACAGTCAACACACACACACACACACACACACACACACACCAGGCGTCATCATGGTTCTTCTGGGTCTTTGTATAATTAGAACAGGTTTTCTCGGTATGTGGTTTTTATCTTATGTTTATTTTTGCTTAATATTGTTGCCTCGTGTGTGTGTGTGTGTGTGTGTGTGTGTATGTGTGTGTGTGTGTGTGTGTGATAAAAATAAACTTTGAAATGTAATAATAATAATCATACTCAATGGGTTAAATCATCATACTCAAGAGACTGTCACCGTACTCAAGCGGTTAAATCAATTTAATAATAATAATAATAATAATACTCAAGGGGTTAAATCATCGTACTCAAGGGGTTAAATCATCGTACTCAAGGGGTTAAATCATCGTACTCAAGGTGTTATATGGAGAGTAAATGAAGTCTCTCTCTCTCTCTCGGCAGCGACTAATAAATAATGTTTTTGTGTTAATCTGTGCTCATAAGTCACCGTGGTTCAGCCCTCATTTGCATATGATTCATGCACGCTTGTACAGACAGACAGTCAGTCGGTCAGTCGAGAATTATCATAAAAGAGATTAAATAATTTTTTTACCTGTACGAAGTATTGTGGGAAAAAGGATATATAATTGAAGATTTGTTTATACATTGTAGTGTTTTTTACATGTTGTTTATTATTGTTGTTGTTGTTATTATTATTTTATTATTATTATAGTGGCGTTCTTCTCGACCTGTGGCATTGAACTTGTTACTGAGAGCATCACTACAGCTGTGTGTTGGTCGGCTCTCTGGCGCCTTCTTGTGATAAGAATTGTTTGGTGAGGTATGAGGCACCGCAAGCTTGGTGATAGGCGGTGGTGTAGTGTGTGGTAAGGTTTGGTTAGGTTAGGTTAGGGTCTCATACTTACATCAGGTTAAAATTATCACACTCGTATTATACTACACTTAACACACTTAAATAAGGCTGTAGTACACTTATATCTGGTTCTATCACACTTATCGTACTTAAACACGTAATGACGTCTTATTGGTAACATCTGAGTCACTTGTGTTATCGAGGTCTGTTGTTATCTCCGGGTGGCAGTGTCTTTCTGATGCCGCCCGCTCTGTAGTGAGGGCGTGAGGCTGTTGGCGTGTGAGGGAGAGTGAGGGCGTGAGGCTGTTGGTGTGTGAGGGAGAGTGAGGGCGTGATGCTGTTGGCGTGTGAGGGAGAGTGAGGGCGTGAGGCTGGGGTGTGTGAGGGAGAATGGGGACGTGGGGCTGTTGGTGTGTGAGGGAGAGTGGGGCGTGATGAGGGCGTGTGTTGGTGTGTGAGGTGAGGGTTGGTGTGTGAGTGAGGCGTGAGGGCTGTTGGTGTGTGAGGGAGAGTGAGGGCGTGATGCTGTTGGTGTGTGTGAGGGAGAATGAGGGCGTGAGGCTGTTGGTGTGTGAGGGAGAGTGAGGGCGTGATGCTGTTGGTGTGTGAGGGAGAGTGAGGGCGTGAGGCTGTTGGTGTGTGAGGGAGAGTGAGGAGAGCCACTCATTCCTCCCCCCTCCCCCCAAAGAGCTTACTGTAGCGTGTAGATTATAGTTAAGTAATTAGCCAGAGGCGATTAGCTTAGTCTGGGTAATTGAAGACGTTCGTGGATATCTCGCGTGCTCGATTTCCCACAGTTACAGACCTCTCTTGTGGTGGCTGATGTGTTCTTTTTTAAGTCAGCGATCACGGCTTCGATTCCCGGGCGTAGTGGAACCTAAAGCAAGGTTCGTGGGTAATAGTTAGTTATCATTTGTAATTAGAGACTCCCCCCCACCTACGGTCTACACAGGTGAGTGGACGTTTGAGTGGTCCAGCTGCCTTGCCCCGACCATCTCTCAACACTGATTCACGAGGTGTTTACTGCCTCGTGAAGCACATCTCCGCCACCAGAGAGAGAGAGAGAGAGATAAGAGATCGATCGATCGATGGGTGAAGTAAAGTATGAAGAAATCTTGATGCTGGTGCGTAGATTGGTGGTGCGGGAACTGGACTTGAAGAATAATGGTGGAATTTGGAGGGACTTGGGTTTGGTGGATAGTGCAGAAGAAAAGCGAGGAAATTGGAAAATAGTAGTAGAATGCTAGGTCTTGGGGCTCAACCCAAGTGCTTC